GCCCGACACTTGGCAGTTTAGGGTGGTTAGTAGTTAGATTTCTATATTTTGTTCTTTTCTTTTCATTTCATTTCTTTTCGTTTTGAATTCTTATTTCTTCTTTTATTCTTATTGAGTTTTTTTTTTTTTTTTTTTTTTTTTTTCTTCAGCGGGCACGAATCTCTTAACTTACCTTAGTGTATTTGCCCCAAATTTCGGGCAAGTTCATTTTCGAAAAGGGGTTGTGGATTCCGCCCCGACCTCGCTTACTACGACACGGTGAAGATCGTTGTCGTAGAGAAAGTGGGTCATCGTGAGTAGGAGGCGACCAGGAAACGCACGGAAGAAGGAGGCCGCGGGGAGGTTGCGCAGGCAAAGCAAAGAATGGAGATGGCTGCACGGTAGAAGGAGAGAGCACATAGCAGCGGAGATCGCCAGCGGGAGTGCATGCGAGGAGGGTCGAAGAAACAGGGGCAGCGCACGCGAGAAGAAGAGAAAACGCGCGGAGGAGCAAGACGAAGATGGCCGCGCGCAGAGAAGTAGTGTAGGGAGAAGAAGAAGAAGAAGAAGAAGAAGAAGAAGAAGAAGAAGAAGAAGAAGAAGAAGAAGAAGAAGAAGACGAAGAAGAAGAAGAAGAAGAAGAGGAGAAGAAGAAGACGTAGGAAAGGAGAAGGAGAATACTTACCGGAAAGTGCCGTATGGCGATGACGGCTCCGATGGCAACGACGACAATAGGGGAGAAGAAGTACTTACCTGACCGAGCACAACGGTGACGCGATATCAACCTTGCATGAGAGGTAAGTCTCCGATTTACCCGGTTGCTCTCCCCTCCCTCTTTGCATTCTCTTGCTGGCCCATTCTTTCCTCTCTTCTTCTCTGATTATCGCCTACTATGCCCGTTGCTGCGTTTCGGATCCCTGCGGGTGGAGGCGATCACCGCAGGAAGGACCCGGGCATATGTCACCTCCCGCCATTCCATTTCCCCACTTCTGCTCTCCCGGTATCCGCCTTGCGTTCTGGGAGATGTATGTGCGTGCGCGCACGCGTGAGAGAAGGAGAGAAGGGTGCTTGAGCATGTGAACGTTTATGTGGTTGACACTATGTAAGCGCGCACGTGTATGTCTTGTGTGTGTGTGTGGGTGTGTGTGTACACGTGTGTGTGTGCGAGAGAGAGATTATAAGTCTCCAACCTTGGCCGACAGCCAAGTCTCCAACCACGGCTCGCTGCGCGCTACTTGGATCGATAGAACGAGCAAATCACAAAGTGGCAGTGTATATTTCCCCGTTTCAGCAGAAGATTCATTCCTATTTTGCTCGTCCTATCGATGGAATGTGTGTGTGTGAGACGTTCATGTTTCGAGAGAGAGAGAGAGAGAGAGAGAGAGAGAGAGAGAGAGAGAGAGAGAGAGAGAGAGAGAGAGAGAGAGAGAGAGAGAGAGAGAGAGAGAGAGAGAGAGAGAGAGAGAGAACGCAGGCGAACACACACACACACAGAGGTAGAGAGAGAGAGAGAAGAGAGCCCCGTCAAATGCGGTAGCAGCTGCGTTGCGCCATCGCCGAATTGATTGCGTTTCTACGTTTTTTCCTGCTTGTCTTTTCTTGTCGGAACATATAGCCTGGTACATAACACTAGCTGCTGGCGGTCTCGTCATTCCCGCGCTCTTGTTCTCTGTCCGTCYCCTTGGAGACGGGTTCGAGTTTCGTGTTGGTATTTGCGCGGCACGTCGGTGATTGACTTCTCCATGGAGTTGGTGTTTCTCTGGAGCCGGACTGCATGCTGTCGAGGTCACTCATCTATACATCTTGTACAGAGGTTGTTGCTTGTGGGACCATGCTCTCCAGACGAAGAGGAGGTCGATCGAGGTCAGGAGATCGCGATCTCGACTGCGACTTCAGAGTAACTGTTGATCAAAGATCGATCGAGCGATTGCCACGTGGCAGACTGTTGTACTTGCTACTGTTGCTGACAACGGCGGGAATAACAGGAGAGTACGCGGTTTTTTTTAGCGACAGCTTCTTCAGAGGGGCTAAGGCTGCTCTCGGTAGAAAAAAAAAGGGGGACGAGAGAGAGAGAGAGAGAGAGAGAGAGAGAGAGAGAGAGAGAGAGAGAGAGAGAGAGAGAGAGAGAGAGAGAGATTTGTGACTCTGGGACTTGACGACATTTGGATTCAGACTCAACATTGGATTGAGAGCTTGGATGAGGGGTTATTTGGGACTTGTAACGAGACTTGCATGCAGTCACACTGTGACACATAGACTGTGACAGAGACATAAGTCACGCGCTGATGGTCACACTATCACAGCGTGACAGTTACACGACGACACATACGCTGTGGCACATACACTGTATCACACAACACAGACACAGTGTCACTCACACTCGCTGTGACGCAGATACAAAGTCGCACATGTGCATAGTGACACGCACAGTGTTACACACACACAAGGACGATGTGATCCACGCAGTGCTCGGTGATAGACACAGAAGTGCACAGTGACACAGTCACGCCCAAAGTATACGGTCACGCATAGTGCACAGACAGTGCGCGGTCGCGTACACGGGCACTATGTCACGTATATTGGGACACAGATAAGCAGATACGCGGTCACAGTGCCAGACATTATGAAAACCACGCGGACACAAAGTAAAAAAAAAAAAAAAAACATGCAATGATACAGTGCACCATGCCGGTAACACACAGATACGCGGACAACAATGCACGGTGACACTTAGACTCGGAATAAACCGTGACACTCATACAGGCATAGTGACACATACGCACTTTGACACAGACTATGGCACACATAGCGAGATATAAACTGTGACATACACAGTGTGACACAGACTGTGGCATGCACAGTAAGATACAGGTTGTGATATACATAGTGTGATAGAGGCCGTAACATACACAACAAGATACAAACTGTGATGCACCCAGTGTGACACGGACCGCGACATACACAGTGAGATACAGGTTGTGACATACACAGTAACACACACAGAGAAGGCACAGATTCAGGCACACAGTCACACACGGAGTGCACGGTGAAGTGACAGTCACTCAGTGACACATGCACTGTGACACATACACAGTGATAGACGCACAATCACGCAGTCACACGGTGACAATCACACAGTGACACACACAGTCACGGTGACATACACAGTAACAAACATCGTGACACACACAGCAGACTGTGACATATACAGTGATGCATACACAAGTGACAAGCGCACAGTCACGCGGTGACACAATACGCACTGTGTGTCCGAAATTCGATTTAACGTGGGGTCCGCGTTAAAAAATTGAACGCGCGTTCAATTCGCGTTCAATCCCCGTTCAAACGCGCGTTGGACGCGAATGAACGGGGTCCGCGAACCGTTATTTC